ACACATGCATGATTGCGGGGGCGGCTACAGGGATTCGTTCCCGAATTCATGATCAAGCTAATAATATCGAATGAATCATAATATGCCCACTGAAGAGAGATTTCCTCGATACTCTCTGAGCTCGCTGCCGTTTCGTCGTGCTCGTGTGCGTACGCCGGTATTTTATGACGCTTTCCGAAGATTCTACTCGACGCTGAGCTCTCAGCCGGCCAGCACACGAACCAGTCAAGCGACGATCTGACTTGCCATTCAGCTAGACAGCCAGCCGACCGACCAGCGAGTCCGCCTGCCCGCCTGCCTGTCCTCTCATCCGCTCGCCATCATCATGGCAACTTTCTGCGTTTCGAGCTCGACCGAGTGCATGCAGACAGCCTCTAGGCAGGAGTTGTTCAAGCCCGAAATTACAAAGTACGCTTCAAACTGTCTGTATCACCTAGCGTCAAGAGTACATCTCGAAACTAGCGATAAGTCAACGCGTTGAGAAACTTGTCAAGGTCACCCTCAAGAGCAGAATGACAATTGGTACTTTGAGAGCCAAGGCGGAACAGAACATGCAACCTCGCGCTATCGGAGTATGCGCTCGTTCTCAAGTTATTTCTCTCCTGGCTGCTAGTTCACTACCTCGAGCCCATCGTCCACGTACAGGGGAATTGGACTCGATGCGGAGTCCGCGGATCGTTCGCTCGGTAATTGAAAAGCCTGGTCTCAAGAATACAGTTTGGAGACTGGTTCGTTTGATGAGGGAGCTCGGGAATGATGCTTCCTCGACCCTCCCCCTCCCCCCCTCCTCGCATCATGACGCTGAATTCACCCACCCTCTTTCCACTTCCCGCTGAGAATCCGGACGATGGGAAGCGCTCGGAAGCCTTTGCGTCGAGGGGATGAAGTGTTTCTCTTCCCGGAGAAGTCCTGCGTTGGGTAATTATCTCAGAGGCGATCAAAACAAAGTGAGCGCCATTTGTTCGGGAATCCCCGGTCGCGAACGCCTCCCGACTGCCCTCTGAATGGGCTCGGACTACTCCCGCCCTCGGCTTAAATTATATTCCGTGGTGTGACCAAACGAGCAAGACAACAACCGAGGTAATTCGCACCAAAAGCACGCGCGCGCAGCGATCCCGGTATTGCCACAACCGCCGCGCCGGCCGCCCTCATGACGGGACGCTTCAGGCAGCGGATGGGACCGGTGAAGTATGGGCGGCACATAACACGCCGAGGGGGTTTTCGTTCATGGATGTAAGCCACAAATCTGTCCGACTGAAGACCGCCCGAAGACCCAGTTGGTCGGTTGGGCAAACGACATGCGGCTGTATCATTGTCCAAAATGCGACCAGTTTTTTCTTTCCCGTGGTCGTCACCGTTGCTATCATCATCGTCGCAGCAGTCGTTGTCTGCAGCTGCGGCTTCGCTGCCCTCCCTATTCTATCCTAATGGACGTTACGTGCTCGTCTTTTAGTCCGTCTGTGTGTTTGAATGTATGAGTACGTTTGCTCGACATCCGTCCGCCTGACCGCACCTACGAACGAGTTAAAAGGCATTCTCAAACGGGCTCGAAAGAGGGGCGGCACAATGACGTTCTTTGCTGCGAGTACGTCCTCAAGGAAAACACGTCGCTCCGGCAGGATACTCGGCGCATATCGATAAGTGGTGTGGACTCGACGATCTTCCCCGATCTCCTCTGATAACGTGTGGAAGTTTCTCGAGGAAAGAATAACACGCTGGGACGGAGCGAGATATTTTCCTTCACGTCGAGCTCCACCCCTCCTCCGCCTGGTGGGTATCCAGTTCCCGCGCACCCCACTGGGGAGCGTATTCCTGAGGGCGACGACAGAGATTTTCTCCGATAGTTTTTCCGATATCCTCCGGACAAGAGAAAATTTTCATCGAGCATGACCGTGCGCTAGTCTACGTCTCAATCGATTAAGGTGAATCGCGGCGGCGTACTTCTCACCGGATCCGCGACCGCCGCCGGAATCCGATAAAGGCGATTCGGAGAATATGCGTACATTGAGGCAGATTCCGCTCGCCCTCTTTCTCGGATGTCGACTTCGGAGACGCGCGCAGTCTCACTCAGTCAGATGCAAGGCTGTTCAAGATGCTCTCATCTGTTTGACTTTTGAACGGAGCTCGAGTCAACTCGTATCGATCCACGAATCGATGCTCCAAGCTGCTTGATCGGTTTATGCGTCTCTGCGTCGCGACGTGCCATCCGTCGCATCGAATTCTCGGCATCTCGAGCATCTCTCTCTTTGTCGTCGTGTCGTCCCCTCACCCGGGAATTTCCTTCGGAATAACACCGGAGATTGGACAGGTGATCGGCGACCTCGTCCCCGAGGAGCTTTGCCGAAAGACACGTTCGCAGGCCCGACGACAACAATGGTCAAAGAAATTGTGTCATTATAAAGCTCTGAAGCGGTGCGGTGGTAGAGATCGATGAGAGCGACAACTTCGATGGGCCAGACGGAAAGACAGCCGACAGGAGCGGCTTGCGACACGATGACAAGAAGCGAAGAAATGAAAATACTTGGAACGAGGAGAGCTCTCTCGAACCTCAAGTGAAAACAAATTCCCCATCTCGGCGCTTTTCTATCATCAACGTCTCCGTTCCCCAACGTAGTACCTGTCGGTTCTCCACGGAGAGCTTCCGTCCTAACAAACGTACCTACAAGATAAAGGAAAAAACGAGCAGTTCCGTGATGTAATGGTCCCTCGAGAGAGATCTCTCTAACTGATGAGTTAGTGGGTGTTTGTCTCGAGTACGAGAGCGAAGCATCGAGGCACAGCCGGAATCCGTGTGAGATGCAAACTCGAGAAGACCCGATTGGGGGAGCGGTATGAGGCAATCTGTCGCACAAACATCCGTTCTCGAAACTGTGACAGAGACATCCTGCTTAAATTTCTTGGAACGACGGGTGACATGTTTACAGGAGGCCAACAGCTCGTCAACTTTCTCGTCCTCCTCGAGAATGAGGGGGTCTTGGTGAACGCTGAGAGTAGTAAATCTTGATCACCGAGAGATTACGGAGGCGTTGAGCGTCGGAATCGTCCAGAATCATGATTGCATAAAGCACACTGCGTACGATCAGAGGGCCCGGACCGGAACGAGCAACATCGCTCCGCGCGGGCCCTATCGCGAGCAGCATTTTATGAATGGCGGCAGTGTCGTCGACGACGACGACGATGATGACGATGACAAGTTCGATGTCGACGATGGCGAAGGACGATCATCATTGCCATCGTATTATCCGCCATGCTGGTGTTGCTCCTGCTGGGACTGACGCTTATCACGACGACGACTCGTCGAGGTCGCTTAGTTCGAAAACGAGTAAGTTTTATCTCTGTGTCTTTTTTGCGCGTTCGGCCCTCGGACGTACATCCGAAGTCGATCCGCTCTCAAGGTTGCCCGCCCGACCGTCCGCCCGCCCGACGACCGCGACAAGCGCAACGACGACGAGAACGATGACGTGGACAACAGCAGCAACAACGACGCCCACAACAACAACAATCAGGCCGACAGAGTCCTCCGCTTCGTTTTATGATGCTTAATAACCGAGCAGCGTATTCGGACAAGTATTATGAGTACCCTTTCGCATGCGTCAATCCGTCTTTGCCGACTGTCCGAAGGAGCGGCCACGTCGCGTCGTCGACGTCTGAACGAGGAGGCAACCCTCGGATCAAATGAACTGGGGTATTCTAACGAGTCGCTCGTCTGGGGCGTCGTTCGCAAACTCTCCTCCGAAACGAATCAGTTGGGAGTGAGGCCTCCTGCTTGTGGGGAAGATGCATGAATATCTTTCTCAGATCCCGAGCGGTCTGACGATTTGCCTCGGCTTCCGGAGTATTCTCTCGCTTCGAATTACGTCTCGAAGCCCCGTCGGGCATCGTGGCTCGCCGGAAAGTTCCATCCTACATGAGACTTGTTCGCTGCATCGAGGCTCGAAATCCACGCTCGCTCCTAATTGGCCACCTGGTCGTGCCCTCTGTTCGTGCGGAGCGTATCGTATTTCAGCCGCACGTGGGCTGTAGTAAGAGAGACGTTCGTTCGTTCCTTACTCACTCGACGAAGGATAAATATCGTCGTGTTGAATGTTTGATTCTACATCACAAAGCCCCACCGACGCTAGTTTCGCTCCCTGAAGCGAGCAGTAATCCTGTTTCACTGTCCCTGGCTTACTTTACCTCACTTTCGATCCAGCCCGAACGCGCATGCGCAACACCTAAGCACTGCACATACGTACCTACGTTTGCTCGTCGGTTCGACGTATGTACGTCTCCATACGGGCGTAAGCGTAAAATTTGAATCTCAGAACGGGGCCTGCTCCAGCTGCGCGGGGTCTCTCTTCGATACGTTTGTTCCGCGCCGGATCCAGAACGTTCGAAGTGATGATGATTCCGCTCCCGTTACGTAGCTGAGCCGCCTCGAGCGACCCGCATGGCGACCTCACCAATAATAACGGAATGTTGTCACAAGCAAGGGGATTAGGTATTGTCTTCTTGCTTGTGGTGGGAACTCATCCGTTTAATTCCACCTTTTTCCACTGATTGACTGATATATCTACGAAGGCGCGCGGAGAATACAATTGCGACTTCAAGCGTTTCCTATAGAATTGGCGGAACAATTCAATAGGCTCGGGCCGGGCCGAGGAAGCGAATCAGGACGAAGCAAAGATCTGAAGCAGTGGTCCCCGTGCTACAACGAGTCGCGGTCAATTATTATGCAAATCTATTTTCCTAAGCGGTGGGGGAGAGAGGGCAACGAGAACAATGGAAAGGAAGAAGAAGTTGCCCTGTGGCGAGTTTCTCCGTGCGAACGACCGTCAAATCTCTTGATTAAGAGCCACAATCAGACGCGGTCTCAGTACCATTAAAAGCACCCTTATTACGTCGTCTAGGTCGACCGTCGGCGGTCGGACCCTAGGATCCTAATTAAGGCATCAACGACGTTGTTTGCAGCAAACTAAGCAAGCGAGCTATAAACTGAAGAGAGCTTCTTTATTCCACAGGATCCATCGGTCGGCTCCACGACAACGATGACCGAATCACATGTTCTCAAAAGTCTTCCGCGCGAGGTTCATCGAATAGCCGACCTTCAAGTCCGGCGACAGTCGACGTCATATCGGGAGTTTTGGGTGCGGCGTCTTCCGTCACATCTATACAGGTACGTTTCCGCCGCATAGTCCGGGGGAAGGGGGAATCCCCTCTCCGAGAAACGGTTCTTTGGGACCGATCGATCAAACTCTTCGAGAGTTTTTCAGACGACCATGTCTATGATTGAAGGTTGTTTGATAGTCGGCTTTTTGAAGTGACCGACGCGACGTCTCGAAGATCGCTCTTGTGGTAACGTCCTCGAGATCGTAGTCTCATTCGCTGAGAGCAAAAAAAAATAAGATTTCACCAGCAGCGGAATGTTCCGAGGATGTCTCAGGCTCCGAGGTTCAGGGTGTCAGAGGCAGAGGATATTACACGAGATGGAATGTAATGAAGAAACATCGGCCTTAGCGAGGCTCGGCTAATGGGAACAGACTTTCTCAGAGAGGAAAGTTTTCCTCGCGAGCTTACCCGCAGGACCGCTTGAGCACCGCATCTCGCGAACTGGGAGAGCTTGTGTTTTCTCTCAAACCCGTCGTGAGATCTAGGCGGCATCGGAGACGGGGAGGTGGCGAGCGAAATGTTGCCAGACCTTGCCCTGCACATAGCAGGAGACCCTAATGAAAAATGCCTATTGAGGTGAATCTTCTCGATCGGGGTCGTCGAGCTCTAGCCCAGACGCGCAGATACGTACCCACCTCCGAGGATACGTCGACGTGCAATCCTTGTCTGACACGTACCAGAGTCCCGACCGTCGATTCCGCTTGGCTCCTTCCGGTCACTTCCCTCAGATACCGGCCAGGTCTGGATCTGCCGCAAACGGCATCGCATTGCCGCGATTTTCCCGGCCGAAACAAATGAAATTATCTGATTCAGCACTACGGTCGCGGATGGATTTCTAATCAGATATCCACCACCGGCAGTGAAACTAGGTGTCGAGTCTCATCAGAACAATTTGCGAGTCGTGAGCGAATCCCATGGCGATAGACTCACTCCTTGAGGTCGCTGCCGTAGAGTTCAACGAGACGCTCAAACGGTGCTTATGTAGTTTGGGGCCCGGGGACGCAAATCTCACTGAATGAGCAGCGAGTGCGTTCGCTGGCTCTTCAGAGCCATGAGCTCCGGCGAAACTGAATTGGATCAAGAGCTTATGATGCGAAGTTTCCCGGCGATCGTCCTTTCGCTCGACACAGAAGTTCAGGAGGTTCGCTTTCAAAACGATAAGTCGGAATTCGGTGAGGGCTCCTCGGGGTCGTCGTCTTTGCGGAATTCAAGACGAACGCGGTTGAGGAGAGGGCTAGTCACTCCCGAGGAAATCGAGGATCTAGAGGAGAAGAAAAGGCAATATTCTGCGGTTCTCGTGATGCATAATAAATTCCATGATCGATAGCGAGCTTCAGCCGTAGATTCAGCCGCTTTCTCGATGGTCGTTCCCTCGGTCGGTCGGTCGGTCGATCGACCGGACGAGTGAGCCGATGGTCAAGCGAGGCTATAGTTGATATATGTAGTTCTCTCTCGGTACGAGGGAATAATATCGTCCTCCACGTTCTTGAGTCAAAATCGCCTGCGCTCCATGGCGGAAAGGGGAACTCAACTTGGGCAGTCGTTGATTGGAGCCTGCGGGAGATCTCCAATTGACAAACCATCCTGCGAATCTCGAAACTCCGACGGCGATCGTACGTAATGCTGAGGGGGGGAGGGGCAGTTCATTGCGAGGCTCCGGAACATACGAAGAGGGAATTTAAAAAGGAAGTGAGTGTGTTTGAGATGTGTCGGAAGTTTCCAAACGAGCCAAGCCCGCCGAAAAACGGTCGCTGTCGCTACCGGTATTTTGCAGCGGAATCGAATTTGCGACTCGGGAAAGCTTCTTGTCTCCGCCTGAATCGAAAGCGATTTCAACACTGCGAGCACTTTGGTTGCAGAGTGGTGGCGGTGAGCGGGAAAAAAAACGCGCTGTTTGAGCGGCCTCGGTAGACCGCCGCGCCGCCGTAAGGCTACTGTAGAGAGATATCTATTCCCCAGGGAGTATGATTGGGAAGTCTACGAGGGGATCATGAAAAACTGCAGACACGGCTATTAAGCGACCGGTAATGAAAATTGCCTGAGTTCTGGTCGAAGTCCTGGCCGGCCGATCGAATGCCTGTTCCGTTTGTCGCTAGCGATCTTCTGCACAGGCGGAGGCTGTATTCCCTCAGGGTCTGAGCAATATTGGCAACGATGTTTCTGTGCGGCATCTTACTTGAACACATTCACTTACGAGCTCTCCCGGGACGGTTTCAGGTGGCAAACCTTCTGCGTCTGTTCCGCATCCCACAAATATCATTCTTCTCTACAAGCCCAGAACTTTCCAATAAACAGCGATTTGAGTATTTTCTTCGGACGGTACCCTCCGACCGTGATCAGGTAAGATCTCAGGCTTGACGGCTCTCGATGGAGGGAGCTTCTCAACCTCCATGATTCCGGGCGATTTCGAGCTTATCGCGCATGACGATTCCAGGCTGCCGCAATGGTGGAATTGGTGAAACTTCTAAGATGGACCTACATTTCAATCGTTTACGAGGAATCAAACTATGGGATCCAGGCATTCTCTGGTGAGTGGGCGGTGTGGGAATGCGTCATAGGATTCCCTTCTCCCTAATAGTCCTCTCTGCGATGACGCACCGGGCGCTCATTTCCGGCTAGTTCCCCGTGCAGTTCCTATGAGTACTTTGTAATAATTTCAGTTCTCGAAAGTCTCCTGGGTCAACAAGGTATCTGCATTGCGGCCAAAGAAAAATTGACGAAGGATTCGGGCCAAGGTAAGTCGATGATGCCATCATGAATGGATGATCCAGGTGTCCGAATCATTCTCGAATCAGGAGGGAGAGCACGTCTCTAGAACCAAGAATAAGGGAGGGAAGCAGAGCTGCGTGAGCGCGGATGCACGGGGACGAGATTGTCTCATCGTTGTTCGGAAGATTGTCGACCCCGCTGAGTTTCGATTGCGGAGCGCCCTCCGACCGGACTCTACGTTTATTGTGCGAATCTAATTAGAAGTTTCTGTGAGAGAGATCTTCATCTATGTGTCCATCTGCGGGCCCGTCTGATTGTGATCCACTCGGAATCGCACTCCACGCGGAGTCTCGAACAAAGCGCCTGAACTCCGTAGGACGAAACTTATCTTGTTTCGCTCGGGGAACCGGACGCAGAAGTTGCTCCGATTCATCCCACGGCGAAGCTCCTTCGACGAAGGGAATATGGCCGAGCAGCTGCCGCGATCGAATCTCGCTTCGGACTCCGAATTCCTGGTCTGAACCCGGCGTTTGGTCGGGTGAAGCCCGAAACCATATGAAACAATTCCCTAATAAATTAATTTCGCGACGAGACGAGATCGTCGCGGCGTGACGGTCGCATGAACACGACTACGTCCGACTAACGCGAAATTCTCGTTCCGCAGCAAATGATAAGGCATATGACTACATCGTCGATAAGCTCAAGGCTAAATCTCGGGCTCGCGGAGTGATCGTATTCGGATCAGACCAAGAGGTGAGCACGATTCCATAGCGATCAACCTGAATTAGCGGTCAGGCGCGCCAAAGTCATTCCACGATCTATTCGCGCCGCTTACCTTCCGTGTGGTATGGAATCGGTGGTTCCAAACCGTCGCGGCTTTATTTATCCGAAGCGGAACGTTTCCTTTTAAGGTCGCGCACCTGATGAGCGCAGTGGCTCGTGGTAATGCTACCGGAATGTTCTCCTGGATCGGGAGCGACGGCTGGAGCGCACGCTCGCTCGTATCCGACGGCCACGAGGCGCAGGTCGAAGGGACGATCTCAGTCCAACCGATGGCACATCCCATTCCGGAATTCGAAAGCTATTTCCGAAACTTAACAGCTCAAGGAAACAAGCGGAATCCCTGGTTCATAGAATACTGGGAGTATACATTCAAGTGAGTTCAGAACTTCCACTTACGAGTCGATCTGGATCAGTAAGGGAAGCACCTCTCCGTTCCCTCTTGCCACTCTGCATGGAGCCTCGTTATTGAACATTTTTCCGCCGTCAAGGCCGACGAGGCTACACTTCCATTTCCGTTGGCAGCTCAGAAAACTTCTTCCAGCAAATCCAATAGACGAGCATGAGACATGGATGTAGCTCCTATCTACCACTGTATCCATCGGAAGATCCATTTATCCTTCTGCCTATCGGGCAGTATTCTTTATTCCTGCGTACGTGTAGAGGATGACTGCGTCGGAGTAAGGCACAGGCAGACAAGCGAGCAGCCGAGTAAGGAACTAACTCTAGAACCTTGCAGATGTCGATGGCCAAATGAAACGATAACTCCGTACAACCAAGCTTACAACCGGACCTGTTCGGGTCACGAGAAGTTGTCAGACAACACGCAAACAGGAGGTTTCGAACTCGAGCGTCAACTGCAATTCGTCTCGGATGCCGTTCTGGCTTTCGCCTACGCGGTCCGAGACATGCACCAACAACTCTGTCCCGGATTTTCGGGTCTGTGTCGCAAAATGAAGCCGATCGAGGGCTCTCAATTGCTCAGCTATTTGAAACGCGTCACGTTTGACGGTGAGTGCTCCGCAATTCTTTCTCATAGATGTGAGCAACGTATACCCAGACTATTTCCTCGAAAATTCACGGAAACGCCAGAGGCAGACATAACGATAAGAGGCGCAGATGTGGGATCTCGGGCCTGGATCCGAGAGAGGACGACGACGCCGACGTCGGCTCAGATCAGTTAGCGGTTTCTTCGCGGAACTCCTGACGAGCTGCAAAGTTTTCGCCGTGCGTGTCTGAAAATCGAGCCTCGGGGAGGCGAGAGGTTCGGGAATCTTCCGAGCGGCGCTCCCGAGCAAACAGAAGCGTCTCGAGGTCATTCCACTAGAATAACAGCTGATTGGGAGGCAAGATATCATCATATCCCGTAGGTTTACACAAGCGAGGATTCAACTCTCGTTTTCACTGGTTTCCCCCGACTTTTATTCTGGCCGACGCTCCTCGCGACCATCGCCAGAGGGAGTATTGTGCGACCGTCGGCTGCCCGGGGAAACGAGCAGTGGGAGGGAAAATCTCGGCTCGCCCACATAAAGAAGAACGAAACGGAACACCATGATAAAGATGCGGCGGCTGGAAGAGACTTTTTTTGAGAGAAGAAAACCTGGACCCTAGCCAGACTCTTAGCCTTTCTTCTCCGGACGGACGGACGGTCGGTCAGCGGGCCGGGCGAACAAAAATTGAGTGGCCACACTTCAGAGAACAAATAAGATTGTCTCCGAGAACGGACCAACACTCCGGCTCATCATTGACTGAACGAGCGGAAGAGACCGAGCGTGTGAACGAAGACTTAGTGAGCCTTGGTCGGAGATTCAATCTCCGGACCGCCACGCCGGTCGGTCTCCTCTCCCGGACAGAGGAATACAGAGGAACAACGGGTAACAGATGGATGGCGTTCCGGCAGGCTTTCGGCGTCCTCATGCGGCCTCCTCCCGAAGAACAGATGGGTCGACGCAGTCAGATGAGGAGTCGGTGCTATTGGCAATCACCGAAGTAGCTCGCTTTGCCGCGCGCGTCGGTGGCTGTGTCGTCGGCTCGGACTTATCTCTTGGCGACCCCCGGATTCACCGCCGCAGCGCGCCGCTCACCAATATCGTGCCTCCCATGCTCGATGTCGTTGGAGGAGAATCGACGATTGTTTTCGTCCGAGTCAGGAATGCGCAAACATCGAGGGCCTGCCGCGCCACTGACCCGGACACGGAGATGTCTTGGTTTTTGCTCATTCGCTTGTTTTGGTTTCCTGGACCGCAGGCAGATTACGGGCCTAATCAACATACCGTCTTTGAAGGGAGCGAGGACAAAAGATATAATGACGATTTTTTCGCGTTCGCTTCTCACTAGTTTGTCTAGTTCGTCCCGGACGTGCATCGCGCCATTGTCTCCAAGCAGCCGGCCGCGAAGCCTCTCATGCTGCTTCTCTGGCGTCTCCTTGTTGTTTCTGTTTTGTTTGATGACGATGCTCCTTCCCGCTGGAAATTCAGTGCCTAACTCGCGCCCGGCTCGTTACTTTCTTAGATAACTCACTTGGCTCGACCGAGAGCTCGTAGATTTTAGGATGGCTCGGAGCGTCCGCACGAATCCACAAGCCTAGCGCGTAGTATCAGTCCGCCATTTCCGGGTGGCTTGGAGCTGTCGACGTTCCTCCGCGCTCGCTGATTCGAAATTCCAGCGGAGTCTGCGGCGATTACTCGAGCTTCGGCTCGACTCGGTACATTTGACTCATCCGGCGGTTGTCATTGTGAAGAAGTTGTTCCTCCGCAGACGGTAACCTCATGGAATCCGGCCCCTGGCTCAACAGCAAGCCTCGACTGGGGGAGGGGAAGAGAACGTACACAAGCAGAAACACAGGCCACTTGAGTTGTTTACTTCCCGGCGACCGCTCCGGCGAGTGGCAGTACGCATATCAGGATGGTTGAGCGACGTCCGGCAACGGAACGATGGATATAATCTGCTGGTCGCATTTTCCTGGGACGGCACCCCTGTCGGGGGAGAGTCGCAAACACGCCCATAGTACGAACAACTTGCTTGACTGACCGGTTAGTGCGCGGGATGCGCGATTAAGGCCGCAGTTTCTGTCCCGTTACACCAGATGCCATCAAGCCTTCCGCGGACACCGGACAGCGGCTCGAGTGGACACACAAGAGAGCTCCTACTGAAACGAGATGACTCTTCACTGTTTCTCCCCATCCCCGGCCTCGACCCAATCCATCGGGACCTGTTCTTTCGAATTCAATAAGGATTAACTACTCCCTCTCTCCTTCCCCCGGAATGTAAGAACCGAACAGGAAGTCGAGGCCTTGTGTTGGGGAGACTTTTCACAGGACGGAGTTTGAGCGAAATAAGGAAGATCGCTCGTTCCTGAGAACGCTCTCTTAGGAGGAGGAGGAGGATTAGAAGCAGAGCCACGAAAAGGAGTAATAAGGGGAAGCGTGGGAGTGCCACGTGCTCTAGAATCATTCGCTTCGAGTGCGTATTCAATAACTCGGTCCCTAGACGGAGGAGCATGGGAATAATATCAGCCCCGGCTTGCGTGTCGCGCATTGGGTCATCCGGAAAAGATGCAGCCAGCGAGGAAACTCCGCGAACAAACAGCTGGTGCTTGTCCTCGTCGTTCCCAGTGAGGCTTCGAGCAACTCACCGGTTGTTACATCAGAGTAGTTCCGCATTCGCGCCGCCGCTGGGCAAGCTACTTGCTCATGTTGTCGCGTACATGAGATCACAATTCTGTCGCTTGTCCTTGATAGGCCACGCCATGGTCGGTCCCTTCACTAACAACTCCCTCAGCACCGGGCACGGACAGCCGAGCACTGAGGGGGAGGGGGAGACCGTCGCGGTAGGGGAAGGGGGTGGAACTCGGGAACAATAAAGAACTATAGGCGTCTTGAACTCACTTGGGAGGCCTCCATCTCCTGGCGACGTCGGTAACAGTAGTCGGAGGAGCGATTTTAATGGCGCGAATCGTCAACGAGACGGAAAGACAAAACCAAGTGTTCCTTGAGTCGACAGTCGCAGAACAATAATGAGACAACTCGGAGCTGACAGAGAGACTGTCTCCTCCACCGCCTCCACCGACGGCGCCGCTGTAGCGATTGTGAACCGCTTCGTTCGCAAACCGGATCACGGAATCGAAACGGAGTCGGGCGGGGAACGGGAAAAAAAATAAAATAAAGAAAAACGCGGACCTAAAGGCTCCTCGCTGTGCTAGTAGACGGCCGACTGGTGACATCCATTCTGCGCGAGGGACGAGGCAACTCGGACGGGAAAACCGCGAACCCGCTCGCGGGAACGATGGGGGCCCTTGACGGATGATTTTGCTGAGGATTTGGATGAAAAGCCAAGACGATGGCAAGCGGGCGGACTTGGATGCTCATCCCCGTCGTGAGTCGACCGCCCGCCCGCTCGTCAGTCTGTGCCTTCGTCGCTTGTTCAGAAGACCCGGCAACTACGAGGCGTCGCGTCGGGGGGAAATTCAAATTTCGCAAATCCATTCTCATCACACCACGGCGTGGAATCGCATGGGCGCGCGTTCAGTCCCGTCGCCGCCGTCAACGTCTTCTTCTTCTTCTTACCCAGGGAGTTCGCAGCAGTATTGGGAATATCTCACTCGTACTCAACCTTCTCGGAATCTTCCGAGACGACGTGTTCGCACAGACGGAGTGGCAGGCGACGAGACTAGCAGGATTCGGCTTGGATTCAATAAAATCCCCGACTCGGTCCCCGCCAAGGAATCGGCGTGAGAATATGGACAAGAGAAATCTCATTCCGGACCGGCCTCTGACGCGGGGATGACTTCGGAATCCTCTTTGAACTTTTCTCCGAAGAGCAGCTGCTCCTATCTCTCGGTCGTGTCGGGTGTGTGTTTTCGGTCTCATTGGACAATCTCTGCTCTCGGTGTTCTATCGATTTTCGCGGGAGGGGGATAAATAGAGTCACTCAGAATGTGGTTTGCAAATATTGAATTTGAATCAGAGCGTCTCCCAACTCCGAACGGGTTTTTTATTGAACTAGGGTAAATAGATGCGAGCTGGATAGCAGTGCGTCTGCACTGACTCATTTCGGCTGCAGGAGCGTGGAACGTTCCTCGCAAGCAGGTGGTAGCTGCTGCCGCTCGGTGGAAATCGGAGAACTGGGTGAAGCAGGTCGGAAGCGATGAGGAAATCGGACCTGATGACGTAATGTGAAATGATGATTTCCAGGACTGACTTCGGACGAATTCCGTTTTGCCGAGAACACTCTCGACGGCCCATCTCGCTACAATATTCTGCATTTCAAGCAAACCAAGCCCGGAACCTACGATTGGGTCAAGATAGGGGAATACCGTGACGGTCAGCTGACGCTGAATCAGGTGAGTTTGGTCGCATTATTCGTATCGATACTTGCATCGAATAGAATGTTTTTTCGCTCGCTGGTTTATGCCCAGGACACGAGGAACAAGCCTTATAAATAGATAAATGGATTATTGAATTTATTAATCGATCATATATTTCAACTACTGAGCCTTCCGTTGTCGAAATTCCCTGAAACTACGGATGCGGTTCCGAGGGTGTTAGGATGCTGCATTCGTCGCTATCCTCCGTCCCGTCGGGAGCGATATTGAGGAGATCGAGGATATTTCCCGGAGAGGGAACGTGGCCCTTATCGCTTGTTCTAGCGCCTGCGGCGATCCCCTTCCAGTGGCGCGTTTTCTGAATTCGAAGCTTCTCTTCCCTCCACAGACTGAACTACAATTCAGACTCGAGGAAAGAAACACTTCTGCGGAAGATGGTTCTATATTGACAGGAACAACGCCATCACCGCCCATTTCAGGTGAGTTAATAATCTACGCCAACGGAACGAACACGCTAGCTTCGGCAGGACACGGCCGACATATTGTACACGGACACGTACACATCCTGTACGTCATGCACCGCGTCCGGTTGTTGACCATCAATATGACCGGTGTCTTGAGGCTTGGACAAATCGTCCGCCTGACCGCCCAGTCGACTAAGCGGGTGGACAATCGCGTTTGTCGATATCGATCACTGATCACTAGACGCACGGCAGTGCATGTCGTCGGCACTTCTTTGAGCGATTCCGGCGAGGGAGACTTGCGACACTCATTCGGTGAACTCGAATACATGTTCGGGGTGATCTCAACTCGTTGGAGCTCTGGCACTCATGGTCTCACCGGGTTTGCCCTGATGCAAAAATATGAATGAGACGGAGAGCTTCCTCACGGTGTACCCACGAAAGAGAGAGCCACCGGAAGACAGCTATATACTGGCTTGTCGATTCCATTGACCCGATATTCTTTTGACCCCGACTGGATGTGCTGCGGTTGTTTTCCGGCTCCTTTACAAGCAACCTTATTTGCTTCCGGTAGGCTCAGATACAAACGAGTTTGCCCGATGGGATGAGCGAAGGTAACTGGGTTGTCCGCTGCGTTCCCCGCATGATTGGGGCTCTCACTGTGAGCGCCAATCGGATGCTTTCTCCAGAAACCGAGCTCCGCGAATTTCATGGGGAATTGGGGGGATCATGATGTTTCCTAGAGCCTCCGGAGAACGACGTGCCCGAATGCAACGTCTCGCAATCCCACGCATCGTTTCTAGATCGGCAGCGGTTTCCAGCGCCTCTCAAGTTATAGCACAAGGAATTCGCAGATCTGCTCGGGCAGCATCACAGAAAATTCCTCACGGCCTACGGCGGCCTAGTTGGGAACTGGGAGAGGCAGCGACGCGACGCTCAGTCAGTCAGTGCGGAGACGCAGGAAATTCAGTGTAATTCGCACAGCAGAATATTCTGCTTTTCCTTTGTCTCCGCTCTGACTTTTTTTTTTATCATCTTAGTCTCCCGCCATTTTTATTTTTTGATGAACGACCCTTGATATCACGGGAGTCACGAGGAACGGATGGTTTGAAACTCCACACGAGGCGCGACGGCGCGGTATCCACGTACATGCAGCAATAAAATATCCTGAATCTGCTCGGTAGTGCTCATCTCGATTCCGAGGGAACCACAGGGGCGAGACCACAAACCGTTGAATGCTGACCGTGCCGGCATTCCGAAACAAGCACGGAGACGCAGAAGTTGGGTTCACCGACAGGAGAAAGATGCAGGCCAGCAGCAGAAGTCACACAAACGAAAAACGTGCGAGCGCACCGGGTCAGCATGCTGGTTCGTGTCACCGGAAGTCCACGTTCGGAGCTGCAGCTGACAATCTCGTTCCTGTCGAGCGATTCTCCCTGTGGTTTCCCCTCGCAGTCGCAGTGAATTCTCCAGTAGACACTTTCGGAGGTCACTCTCGGATCGAGAAGGAAAACTGTGGACGAACACTTCACCTCTCCGAGTCGAGCCAGAGGCCACCTGCTCGCACTTCGGTCGTCTCACGGCGACAGAGCGAAGCGAGATGATTTTCGCGAAATCGATTCGATGGGTGCAGAAGCCGATCCGCATACTGATCCACCGTCGTCAGTTAGCCACACGCCTGGCAGCAAATGACTATTGATCGCGAAGTGATTCTGTCGGCCTCATTTGCGCGGTATAGCTCGATAAAACGATCTAGAGGGCAGGGGAGCCGCGTTTTTTTCAAAGAGCTCATCCATACTGCGTGGATTGAACTCATCAGATGAAAATGGGACCACCGTATGAACCTCTTTGCCCGTTGAAGTACACAGTCCCTCCGTTTTTCCACCGTCCCGCTCATCCGACCGATGTGCCGCCTGCCTACCAGACCGCACGGGATCGCACGACTGAGCCTTTTTTGTGCGAGCTCATAGCAAAGGGTAGAGGCAGAGTGAGTGAGTGCGTGAGCGAGTGAGCTCTCTGACGAGCGAGCAAGCAAACGAACCCTTCTGTCTGTACTGACGGCGGTGCCGGCGTAATAAGCGACGCCGCCACACTGGTGACGATAGGAGTTGTTTCGAGCTTATCACACACACACACACACTTGGTAGACGCTGGCAGTGAGGGGGCGCCAGTAGGAAGAACTCAGCAAGACGTGACCATTAGATTAAGTGCACATATTATCCCATTCTCCGTAGTGTGCTCATTACCTTGCGAAAGAGGTTCAGCGAAAAAATTCCTCGAGGGCGAGAAATGCTGCTGGCAATGCATGCCCTGCCAAAAGTATGAAGTTTTACGGACAGAAACCGAATGTGTGGAATGCGCCCGAGGAACTCTGCCCGATGAAGACCACCAGGTGAGTACGGAGCGTGCGTGAGCCCGAATTTCGTTGTTTCGTGATCCAAACATTTTGACACTCGGGCATTTTGCGAAGGGAATACACACGATGTTTCTGAGACGATCGGAGGAGAGGGCAAGATATATACGAGGCGGCTCGTCCGTTACAGGTTTGCTTGGAGATTCCAGCTCAACATGTCAATCCGCATTCGAGTTGGGCAACCGGGGCCATGGCCTTCGCATCGGCCGGCTCTATTCTGACTCTCTGCGTCATCTACGTGTTTGTGAAGTACAGAGACACGCCCGTGGTTCGAGCTTCGGGACGCGAGCTGAGCGCAGTTCTCCTGCTGGGGATTCTCTTCTGTTACTGCGTCACCTTCGTGCTCGTTCAGAAGCCGACAGACCTTTTCTGTGGTTTGCAACGAACGGGCGTGGGACTCAGCTTCACGATCGTCTACGCGGCCATTCTCACCAAGAGTAACAGGTTAGTTCTCGACCGAGCGTTTGAGAGAGCCAACGCCGCAGCAGCGGAGGACCCGCAGAAATAGTCGTCGACTCTGCGAGGAGGAAACAGGAAATGGAGGCGTCCTGGAGACGGTTGGAGCGGGGACCGCGCGCTCGGCCCGGTCTTCGAGGGAATTGATGTTGAAACGCGGAGAATTCCGTTTCCCATGCGAGAAATATGCGACCACGTCCACGGGACGAGCCGTTATTCATGAACTATACGACATACATAGTGGTGGCCTGTTCTCGGTCGGAGAACAAACCCTTTCGCAGTCGGCGGCATGATGTGCATCTCCCGCAGGGTTCAAGACGGGGGGGGGGATAAATGAGCTCGACTCATCTGGATCGTGTAAGTCTCGTTTGGCGCGCAGCTCGTTTGCGATGACATGACGACCCTCGCGATCAGCTCATTCCTGCCCCTTGCCGTCGACTGCCGGCTTTCGGTGCTTCCCCGATTCACACCTTCCATGGGAATCTTCCGAGCTCGACCTGACGCGGGACGGAGTTGCCGAGCACAGAACCAAAAGCTCCGTTCGGTGATGGTGCGGGGATCCAATCGATCTTGCCGCGATTGGCCAGAACCCAATCGGGACACGGGCCGGGGCTCGGAGTCTTCCCGCTCACGCGGTGGCCT